ATGAAGGAGATGGGAACTCCAGATGTGCGCATTGACACCAGGCTCAACAAAGCTGTCTGGGCCAAAGGAATAAGGAATGTTCCATATCGTATCCGTGTGCGGTTGTCCAAAAAACGTAACGAGGATGAAGATTCACCAAACAAGCTCTACACGCTGGTTACCTACGTACCTGTCACCACTTTCAAAAATCTACAGACTGTTAATGTGGATGAGAACTAATCGCTGATTGTCAAATAAAGGTATAAAACTGCAAAAAAAAAAAAAAGATTTTATTTATTTATTCATGAGAGACACACAGAGAGAGGCAGAGACATAGGCAGAGGGAGAAGCAGGCTCCTTGCTGGGAGCCTGATATGGGACTCGATCCCAGGACTCCGGGATCATAATCTGAGCCAAAGGCAGATGCTCAGCCATTGAGCCACCCAGGTGCCCCCACATCACCTCCAGCTTTTCATATTAGTAATCTTTTTCATTTTAACCATTCTAGAGGATGTGTAGTGGTGTTTCATTGTGATATAATTTTCCTTCCCCTGAGGACTAATGAAGTTCAGCATTTTTCCATGTATTTATTGGCCAGGTAGGCATCTTTTTTTGGTTTTGGTTTTCTTAAAGATTGTATTTATTTATTCTTGAAAGACACACAGAGAGAGGCAGAGGCACAGGCAGAGGTAGAAGCAGGCTCCCCGCAGGGAGCCCGATATGGGACTCAATCCTCAACTCCAGGATTATGGCCTGAGCTGAAGGTAGACACTCAACCACTCTGAACCACTCAGGCATCCCGGCAGTTAGGCATTTTATTTTATGAAACATCTGCTCAAGTCTTTTGCCCATTTTTAAAAAATCAAATTGCCTTTTATCAATTTGTAGGATTATCCAATATATGCTTAAAGAACTCTTACAAATATATATAGGTTCATTTTAAAATTTAAATCTTTGATTCCCTTGGAGTTTATTCCGATTAAAGTACAGGCCCAACTTTATTTTTTTCAGATGGTTACTCAATTGTCTTAACATCGATACTACACAGCCCATCTTTCCCATATCAATTGGAAATGTCACTTTTGTCATGTACTACATTTCTGTGTGTATTTTGGAATATTTCTGGGCTTTCTATTCTTCTGTCTTCCATGTGAAAGTACATTTTCATTTACTTAGCATTATAATGTGTTTAAATATCTACTAGGGGGTCCTATTGTTTTAGAGCTTTGCAAACTATTTTTATTTATTTTTCCATATGAACTCAGAACTGCTTTGTCTCATTCCAAAATTAAAAAAAAGAAAAACCACTTTACTGGTCTTGAAATAAATTTATGAGTTAACTTCTGAAGAATTAACATCTTCCTGATGTTGTTTTTCTAGTTTAACATGATTACACATCTTTTATTCGTTCACATCTTACTTGGTATCCTTCAATGATGCACAAACTTTTGATATGCAGAGCTGAGTTGGTGGGATAGTGAAGACAATCTGGGAGGCCATGAAACTATAAGAAAGTAAGAGACTAGAGTGGTTATTCAGGATCGCAGTCAAACTTTTCTTTGGATAGCAAATAAAGCTTAGAACCTAAGCAAGGTGTGAGGTTAGTGTGGAGTTACTGGAATAAAACCCAGTCCCCTCAATGGATCTAGAGAGTATTCTGTTAAGCAAAATAAGTCAGAAAGAAAAAGACAAATACCATATGGTTTCACTTACACATGGAATCTAAAACATAAAACAAATGAGCAAACAGACAAACAAAAAACCGAAATAGACTCATAAAAACAGAGAATAAACCAGTGGTTGCCAGAGGGGAGATACTGAGAGGGTTGGGTGAAATAGGTGAAGGTGATTAAGAGAACAAATTTCCTGTTATAAAATAAATAAGTAATGGAGACGAAAAGTACAGCATAAGGAATATAGTCAGTAATATTGTAATAACTTTGCATAGTGACAGATGGTAACTACGCATATTGTAATAAACATTATGTAATGTACAGAATTGTCAAATCACTGTTCTACATCTGAAACTAAAATAATATTGTGTGTCAACTATACTACAATTAAAAGTAAAATAAAAAAATGGAATACCATAAAAATAAACCAGATTCCCTCAAAGAGTGGCATCCTGAATAGAAACCTTGAAAACAACCCATCTCACAAAAGATAGAAGAGATATCACCTGTGTTGACAGTGTTCTTCAGAGGAGGGAAAAGATTTGATTGAGAACTCCTAACAACCCACTTTCACATAGGCCTCTGTAGGAAAACAAACAAACAAATATTTTGAAAAAAAGAAAAGAAAAAAAGAAAAAAACCAAGGAGAAATTTTAGGTTAAAACAATCCTAAATTGGTAGATCTTCCAGGTTCCAAAAGCAAAAGCAAATTTTCGTTGGCAGAACACACTTAAATCTTAGGTGTGGTGGGTTGAAAAGTGATTCCTTAAAATTTATTTCTACTTATGACCTCAGAATGTGACTTATTTGGGAATAGGATCTTTGCAGATGTGATTAAAGATCTTGAGATGAAACACCCTGAATGCAGAGTAGGCCCTCAATCCAATGATTGGTGTCCTTATCCCTGGGAGAAGAGATGACACAGGGAAACACACATAAATGAAAAAAGAAGCCATGTGAATATGGAGGCAGAGATTCATGTCATATTGCCACAGCTAAGAGATGCTGTGAGTCAGGACGCCTGGATGGCTCAGTGGTTGAGTGTCTGCCTTCAGCTCAGGTTGTGATCCCAGTCTGGGGATCAAGTTCTGCATCCGGCTCCCTGTAAGGAGCCTGCTTTTCCTTCTGCCTGTGTCTCTGCCTCCCTCTGCCCGTATCTCTCATGATGAATGAATAAAATCTTAAAAAAAAAAAAAAAAAAAAAAAGAGATGCCATGAGCCACAAGAAACTGAAAGAGACTAGGAAGGATTCCTCTCTGAGCTTCAGAGAGAGCATGGCCCTGCTAACATCTTGATTTCAGACTCCTGACATCCTAAACCCTGAGAGAATAAATTTCTATTGTATAAGCCACCTGGTTTGTGGTAAATGGCTATAGAGGCCCTAAGAAACGAAGACACTAGGTTTCAGGAAATCCATACAGATAAAATTCCAAGGAACTTGATTTCATCATCCCAAACTGTAAAATACACACAAAAATAAGCCATGGTAGGAAAAAAAAAAAAAAAAACAAACAATCAACATAAAGAACAAAATGCAGAGAACAATTTGCAAAAAGGACAGACATTGAAACGGTCATTGTGGAATATAAGGACATGCAATAGTTTTTTTAAAATAAAAGAGGTTATGAAAGTAGGTGTAGGTACAAGGAATTACCAAAAGTAATAGGATAGATTTGAAAATAAAAAAGCGTAACTTGGGATGACTTGGGTGGCTCATCAGTTGGGTGTCTGCCTTTGGCTCAGGGTGTGATCCTGGAGTTCCAGGATCGAGTCCCACATTGGACTCCCTGCATGGAGCCTGCTTCTCCCTCTGCCTATGTCTTTGCCTCTTTCTCTCTCTGTGTGTCTCTCATGAATAAATAAATTTTAAAAATCTTTTAAAAAGCATAACTTTTAATAATACAAAATACGTAATTATTCAAATTAGAAATTCAACTTGAAAGTTAAATAGCATATAAAATCTAGCTGAAGAGAAAACTTGAAAAAAAAGGGAAGAGAGAGCTAAGGAAGTTACTGAAAATGTAGCACAAAGATATAAAGAAATGTAAAAAATTAAGAAGTTAAAAGGAAAAAGGATAGAACAAAGACGAGGATTTAATATACTTTTTTATTATAGGATTTCAATTTTATTTTACTATATTTATTTTTCTTTCTAGATTTTATTTAAATTCAAGTTACTTAACATATAGTGTGGTAATAGTTTCTGGGGTAGAACTTAGTGATTCATCACTTGTATATGGCTCCCAGGGCTCATTACAAGTGTCCTCTTTAATGTCCATCCTCCAATTGCCCCATTCCTCCACCTACTTTCCCTCCCCTCAGTTTGTTCCCTATAGTTAAGAATTTCTTATGGCTTCCCTCTCTCTCTGTTTTTATCCTATTTTGTTTTTCCTTCCCTCCCTCTATGCTCATCTGCTTTGTTTCTTAAATTCCACTGGGGGCACCTGGGTGGCACAGTTGATGGAGCATCTGACTCTTGGTTTCAGCTCAGGTTATGATCTCAGGGTTGTGGGATCAAGCCCTCCACCAGACTCCGCACTTAGTGGGGAGTCTGCTTTGGTTTCTTTCACCCTCTGCCCCTCCTCTTACCCGCATGTGCTCTTTCTCTAAATAAATAAATAAATAAATCTTTAAAAAAAATTCTAGGGGCACCTGGGTGGCTCAGTTGGTTGGGTGACTGTCTGCCTTTGGCTCCGGTCATGATCTCAGGATCCTGAGATTAAGCCCCTCATTGGGCTCCCTGCTCAGTGGGGAATCTGCTTCTCCCTCTCCCTCTTTCTTCCTCTCTGCTCCTCCTGTAGCCCCATTCATGCTCTTTATCTCAAATAAATAAATAAAATCTTTAAAAAATAAAATAAAAATAAAAACTCTACACATGAGTGAAATCATATGGTATTTGTCTTTCTCTGATTAACTTATTTCACTTAGCATTATACGCTCTAGTTCCATTCACATCGTTGCAAATGGCAAGATATCATTCTTTTTGATGGTTAAGAAATCTCCCCCCCCCCCACTCTCTATATATATACACCACATCTTCTTTATCCATTCATCTATTGATGGCCATCTGGGCTCTTTCCATAGTTTGGCTATTGTGGACATTGCTGCTATAAACATTGGGGTGCATGTACCCCTTCAAATCACTATTTTTGTATCCTTTAGATAAATACCTAGTATTGCAATTGCTGGGTGGTAGGATAATTCCATTTTTTAGATGGTAATTTTAGCCATTCTGACCCGTGTGTGACTTACTGTGGTTTTGGTTTGTATTTCCCAGATAGTGAGTGTTGTCGAGTGTATTTTCATGTGTCAAATATTTGTATGCTTTTTTTTTTGTTGTTAATGAAAATAAGCTTTATTACATCAAGTAATAAATACATACAAAGATGCAAACAGTTTTAGTCATTTTCTTCCAGATGTTTGGATCAACTTACAGGAAAAGCAGAACTGAAATCCACACAGTCTTAGTTGGAAAATTTTGGTGGGGGAGGGGGAGTTCTTGTTAGATTAGGTTTGGTAGGTTGCTCTTTCTTCTGTATTTATAACTTGTGCATTTTTTAAATTGACCTCAAAGCACTAATAGTCATGCAAGCAAATGCTTAATTAAGCTCAAAAGAAGTTACATTAAGCAGAATCCACACCATGTGGCAAACGTATGCACTCAAAACAAAACCCTCAGAGTTGTATTAGCTTATGAAAGATCGTGTAAAACAATCTGAGTAACTTAAGTGTACTCCAAAAAGAGGATGAAAGGAGCTGGGATATCTGCTGTGAGATAGGGATCTTTTACGTGCATCTTTTAAATCAATGCTTAAAAAAAAAGAAAACAAAAAAATAAAAATGCTTAAAAAAATAAAAATAAAAACAAAAAACCCTGGGTAATTCCTACTTAAAATGTAAATCCTAGTCAACTGCAAAGTATTTCTCAATCTCAGAGCCTCATGAACCATGGGAGGGACACGGGAAGGAGAAACCAAACTGTTACCATTTTGAAAACAAGAGTTTCATCTGAACATGGGAGATGAGCTGTAACTTCTGGTCTTGGAAGAAGATGGAAAACCTTCTACGCTGATAGGCAGCTAGGACCTGGCATTCCGTTCCGTCTCAGCCAAGCACTCTCGAACCAGTCCTCTGGCGTGAATGATGCCTCGTTTTAGTCTCTCCATGGCGCTCTTGCTCCCTGCATAGGTGGGTCTAATCTCTTTCCCCAACTCTTCAATGATGGCCAGCAGCTCAGCATATTTGCTTTGGGGTACCTGGCTGTTCCCAGTTCCCTGGGTATAACCTAGAGATGGTGGCCCGTAGTCACTCAGCAGCTGGCGGTACTGGGAGGATGTGGCCATACTGGTGGAGGGCGGGTGGACACTCCCAGCCTGACACCCGCCGCAGTATATCACCCATACATCGGGCGGGCGCAGGGGCGGCCGCAAACTTTGAGCGGAGCCCGCTTTTTTTTTTTTTTTTTTTTTTTGAGAAATGTCTGTTCATGTCTTCTGTCCATTTCTTAACTGGATTTTTTGGGGGAGTATTGAGTTTGATAGGGTAATTACAGATTTTGGATACTGGTTCTTTATCTGAAATGTCATTTGCAAATATCTTCTCCCATTCCATTGGTTGCCTTTTAGTTTTGTTGATTGTTTCCACTGGAATTTAATATACTTCTTTGGGGGGCAGAGGAAGAGGAAGAGAGAATCTTTCTTTTTCTTGCTTATTATTTACTTATTTATTTATCCACTTGTTTTTATTGAAGTTCGATTTGCCAACATATAGTATAACACCCAGTGATCATCCCATCAGGTGTCCTCCTCAGTACCTGTCACCCCAACCCCCCGCCCACTTCCCCTTCTGCAATCCTTTGTTTGTTTCCCAGAGTTAGGAGTCTCTCATGGGTTGTCTCCCTCAAGGAAGAGAGAATCTTAAGCAGGCTCCATGCTCAGTGAAGACCTTGGAGGCAGGGCTCAATCTCACAACCCTGAGATCATGACTTGAGCAGAAATCAAGTCAGACACTCAACCAACTGAGTCACTCAGGTGCCCCATGGTTTAATATACTTCTAATTAGACATCCAGAAGGAAAGAATGGGGCTCAAGGATGCAATATTAAAGATGAAAATGGCTGGGAATTTCACAGAACTATAAAAAAGTATAAATTCTTACATTGAAAAAGAATGAGTTGCAAATAGATAAATGAAAAGAAATCCACATCTCAATATATGCCAAAAAATATACAGGACATAAAGGAGAAAGAGAAAAACTTTAATTCACAAAGAAAAATCTGTGTAAATGCAAGGAATAAAAAACCAGATTTCTCATCAGCCACAACATAGACAGAATACAGGGAGGAACATCTTTGATGTCCTGAAGAGCAATGCGTGAACTTAGACTTCTATACCCTGGAGAATTGTCATCCAACTTACAGGGTATAAAATTCTAAAAATGTTCAATTTGTTGAGGAATTTGGTAATGGATTTAGGTTGGAAGAATTTTGAGGCATGTGATAGAAAAATCTTAGATTTCCTCAAAGAGAATGTTGGTAAAATTATGGATGTTAAATCTGCTGTTGGTAAGGGTTTACAAGGAAGTGAGGAGCATGGTAGAGAAGGTGTGTATCATCTTAAAGAAGACTTAAATCATCATTAACATAATATTGAAAAAAATAAAATGCTATAGTAGCTGCTGGTAAGAGCTCACAAAGAGATGAGAAACATGTTATGGAAAAATGGAGGAAAGGAGATCCTTGGTATATAGTATTAGAAGCTTAGGTGAATTGTGTCCTATAGTTATGTGCAAAGCAGAATTTGTATATATGATGAACTCAGATACTTAGTAGAGAGTATTGAAGGTACAGACTGGCTGCTTCTTGTGGCATTTAGTAAAATATGAGAGGTAAGAAATAAATTTGGGGAAGAACTGTTAAAAACCAAAAGTGGAGGGGAACCAGGACTTGATGATTGAGAAATTCTTAGTCTATCTACATTGCAAGACATGCAAAAATTTAGAGGATTCACTGTAAGGAAACTATGTTCCGGAGAAAAAGTCATGGGTGTGGCTGTTGCTGGAATTCAGAGTATTCATAAATTCATAAATTCAGAGTATTCAATCTCATGAAGGACTCTTTGGAGAGATTAGGCATATGACTCATGGATCTCCTCAGTTATCTCAGCAGAGGCCAGGAATGGAAATGATGTTATCCAGTAATATTCATGGGAGAGGTTTTTGTTTAATGGAATGAATCCTCATGACACACATGAGAGACTCACAAGGTTTTTTAGAATATATTATGAGTAGAAACACTGTTAGCTTGGGCAGGTAGGAACAAATAGGACTAAATGAAAAAAGGCTGTTGAACCCCCAAAATTCTACAGGCAGTAAACAGGTTGATAAAATAAATCAGTGACAAACATATGCTCTTATTTAAGAAAAAGTAAAGGATAACAAGATGCACAACTATTGGCCCAGAAAGCAGAGATGAGAGCCACAGAGGATTGTTCTCAGGCATTGGATTTCAAAACTGCTTGGGACCAGTGATTCTTTTTTCTCTTTTCTCCCTTCTGGAATGTGAATGTCTATAATTGTTGTCCCATGCTTGTCCCATCATTGTATTTTGGGAACAGATAATTTGTTTTCTAGTTTTATGCATTCATAAATTGAGGGAAATTTTGCCTGAGAATGAATCACACCCAGATTCTCACCCATACCTTATTTAGATGGTAAGATTTGGGACTTTTGAGCTGATAACATTTAGATGAGATTTTGGACTTGAGCTGATATTGTAATGAGTTGACAGTTTGAGGTGTTGAGATGGAGTGGATATATTTTGCATGTGGGGTGATAGTGAATCCTGGGGGCCAAAGAGCAGACTATGATAGACTGAATAATTGCCTTGAAAGATACCCATGCCCTAGTCCTTGGAGTCTGTCACTGTTTCATTACATAGTAAGAAGAACTTGTAGAAATAATTAAGTTTAGAATATTCAAATGGGGAGATATTCTGGATTATCTGGGTGGATCTCAAATGAAATCATAAAGGTCCTTATAAGAGAAAGACAAGAAGGATCAAAAAAGGAAGTTGGAGGTTTAATGATGAAGCAAGGGATTGGAGTGGTTCAGGATATGGGTCATAAGCCAAGGAATTTGGGCAATCTCAAGACACTAGGAAATTGACTCACCTCTAGAACCTCCAGAAGGAACCAGTGCTTCTGATACTTTGGCTTTAGCCCACTGTAACAAATTATGGATTTCTGGATTCCAAAACTGTGAGTACATTTCTGTTGTTTTAAGCCAATATCTTTGTTGTAATTTGTTATAGCAGCAATTGGAATTTCATACAGAGGGTAAAATATAGCACATGAAATCTAAAAGTGTACTGCCTGGAGACTCTCAGTGCATGAGTAATAAACATATACTTTTAGAAGAAGGAAATTGAACTCAAGAAGAAAGAATGGGATGTAAGAAGCAGTGGTGAGTTAAGAAATAGATAAAACACAGGACAAATCTAAAAAAAATAATATTTTGAGGAGTTTTGTAATCAGGGTATGACTAACATACATAAATAAAGACATGAAAGATTAATGGAGACAGTTCATAGGAAAGTTAAAAGGTTAAGATCCTTGCTCTGTTCAGAAAGAGAATGAAAGCATTGCTTATATTTTTCCTAACAAAACCTAACGTTAGAGTTCTTTATGAAATCAAAGCTAACATTAAAATGTGCATATAAAAATTCAGGGTAGAGGTGAATAACATTTCTTTTGACTTTTTGTTTGCTTGAAAATTTTCATAGAAACATTTTGGGAGGGGAAAAAAGCCACAATGAGATTTCTACCAGTATAACTAAAATTAAAAAGTCTGACAATATCTAGCACAGCTGAGATTGTGAAGCAAGCAAAGCTCATACCCTAGTAGTAGAAGTGTAGATTGAACTAAATATTTTGGAAAAATTGCAAAATCTACTAAAGCTAAACATATGCATACTCTATGCTCCAGAAATCCAACTCCTAGGTAAAATATAAATTTAATATTAATCATATTTATGTGCACCAAAATCTATGTAAAAGAAAGTTCATGGCAGTTTCATTTATAATTACTAAAAGCTAGAAATTAGCCAAATGCTCAAAAAAGGAGCACGGATATGTAGTGGTACATATTTATGTACTAGAATACTACATGGCAATGAAATTAAATAAGTTACTACTAAAATGCAGCTATAGAGTGAATCTCATTAACTTAATATTGAAAGAAAGAAGCCAGACACAAAAAAATACAAACTTATTTTATTTCTGAAATTCAAAAACAAGCCAAACTAATCTTTGGTATTAAAAGTCATGATATTGGTTTCCTCTGGCTAGGGGAGAGAGATAGTGACTAGAAAGTGGACTGAGGGAGACCTTTGAGGTAGGTGGTTATGTTCACATTATTGATCTGGGGGGTAGGCATGGACATGCTTGCTTTCTGATAACTCATCAAGCTGTACACTTGATATGGTTTCTAAACTAAAAAAAATATTATAGTTTTAAAAAGCTCAAGGTAATGACTAGTAATTTCAAAAAGACAGTAAGATCAATACTCAAGCTGGGATGAAAGATCTATCAGCTATTTGGAGGAAACTGAGTTGAGAGGACGTAGGGTGAAAGCCTTGGAAAGTGGCCAAATCATAGGTATTCCCTGTGCTCTGCAGAGTGAGAACAGTGATATGGAGTACATGGCTATGATTTGCATACACTCTATGCTCGTCCTTGACAAATATATTTTTATAACAACCTAGAAGGCCAGGATGAACTTTAAAAGCACTACACTTACACATGGAGGTGGCAGAGAGTGAGTCCCAAGTCTGGGCCTCTGGCCCATCCCTTTCTTCATCCTTGAGGAGTGACACGAAATACATGGACATCCCTCCCACCCATCCAAGTTTTGTCCATGGCCCTGCAAACCACTACCATTTGGCCACCCTTGGGCATTAGGCTATGTGCACCAGAGGCAGTTGGCCTTTCTTTAGGAGGGTCAAAGAAGCCTGCGCCAACGCTGGAAATGGACTCAGGAGCATTTTGGCAGGATTTATGGGGTCTTGGCTCCTGAGAGGGTATGCTCGAAGAGGGAGGTGCTAGAGCTCTGGATGGGTACTGCCTAAGGGGGGCTCAGAGCGAGACATCTAAAACATGCTAGGTATAAAGACAGTATAGTCCTGTGCCAATGAGAGAATGCCTCAGCAGAAGTTGGAATGGACTGTATGGCTATGAGATAGGACTTTGGACGTCTCTGTAGATGTATGTTTCTATGCAAGAGAAATGAATCCAAGGATCAGCTATCCCCTCAGCTCACCCCGTACTACTCAATGCCATGATTCTTGGAAAACTTTCTAGAAATGAAATGACACCTTAGCAAGAATTAGGGAAAGA